ACAAAATGGGAGGAGCCCAAAACCAACTTTGCCTCCACTGCTTCCTGATGCAGTCTTTTCCACACCTGTTGTTTGGGCTGCTTCTCAGTACAGGTTTAGCATCCCTTTTTCCAACCTTCCCTTTTGGGGAAGATTGCTGAGAAGGTGGTCAGTTTGTAACTGATAAAAACTCTGGAAGAAGTGAAGTATCTAGACCCATTTCAGTCAGGCTTCAAGCCAGGATTTAGCAAGGAGTTGGCCTTGGTTCTGCTTTTAGATAACCTGGGGCAGAGCCAGGGACCCCAAAAGCATGTCTTCTTTGTCATGGCACCTCCCCTATGGAATGAGATCCCCCTCTGACATCCATGTGGTTCCCACCCTGCTGGCATTCTGGAAAGCTTTAAAGACCTGACTGTTCTCCCAAGCCTTGCATTAGGGTGGTTGGGGCCCTGCTGGATTGTGTGTGGATATGGTTGACTGCACCCGCCTTCAGTTCTTGTTGTTTATTCTTTTATAATTATTGCATTCTGATTTTTATGCTGTTGCTTTTATTGTACACCACCCAGAGTCAGTAGGAGTTTGGCAGTGCCTAAACAGAATTAAATTAAATTAAATTAAATTAAATTAAATTAAATTAAATTCTTCTGCAATTGCACTAAACCCATTTTAGCTCTTTTTGAACACAGGTTTAGTGAATTCGTAGAATGTGCCTGTGGATGACAGCTGTGCAGAATCAAAGCAAGTTTTGACAAGCATCTAAACTCACTAGTCTAGCCATCAGTATTTGCCTCCTCCCCAGCCCAGTTCCTAGACCATGTTAAGTGACTGGTGGATGATAGTTAATGTGATGGGCTCCTCTGATTCTGAAGCCAAAGTTGAGAACCTAGTAGACCCTCAGCTTGTAGTTCAGGAGGCAGTTGGCTGTCAGCCACCAGGAAGTGGTGAGTCAAACTCAAGAGAAGTAGCTGCTGATTCAAATAGCAAAGACCATAGGCTGGCAGCAAAAGAGGGGTGAGCAGCAGAGATCAGCAGAGATCAGCACAGCTCCCCTAATTAGGCAAAGCCAGTAATTCTGTGTCTTTAAGAGCGTGCTCCAGATCTCCCCTTCTTGAAAACAACTTTTCACTATGGGCCTGTCTTCCCTTATTCCTGGTTTCTCCTATTCCTTCCCCTTAAAATGGATCCCCAACTTATGACCCCTGGATTGGATATTTTATCTTCAGCTCTCAATGGCTGGATTGCAACAGACCTTCTCTCCTTGGTTGTATTTAAGCCCCAGCTGTGAGTTACAGGCAAAAGCTTCTTTCTCTGCATTTGTTTGCAGACAACTTACAGCCCCTCAGTTCTAAAGTTATCTGCTAACTTATTTATGACCAAGTTAATAATCATATTGGAAACATATTAACTGCCTCCTGCTTGATTGCTACCCCACCTAGTGCAGGATGGCTGGTGACATTTGCTGGGGAGGAAGGGAAACAAAACTGAGGAAATCCACCAAGCTTTGTTCTTAACATGCCCTGTGCAGTATAAATAAGGATGCTGCCATTTGCCAGCATCATGGCAACCAATGCACTAGGATAGGGGTTGTCAGTGGGGGCAGGCAACCTTATGCTGGTATAACTTTCTTTTCTTTTTTAACTGGGTCAAGAACTGGTACCTAGCAGTTAAACCAAGTTGCAAGTAAAGATCCTATATCAGTGCATTTCTCACCACCTTACAAGCAACAGTTAAACTGAAAGTACTCGAAAACAAAAATCATTCATTCATTCATTCATTACAACTACACTGTACTGGGTAGTATCTCCATGTAACATGCTATTTGGACATAATACTAATGGGATGTTAAGTTGTTTTCCAGAGGACGTGTTACTGAAGACACGTCCAGCGTTCAGACTGAAACACGGCTTACGTGTTTCAAAAAGTAAAATACTGAATAATGCACATGGAATATCTGCCATAGGCTGGGAGCTAACAGATGGTCACAGTGTCCGTATCCACCAAATTCTGAATTGGGGGTAGGGACAAATGACTGAAATGAATATGAGAGTAGATACAGGAAAGAGGAGCCGTTTGGAATAAAGGCAAACAGCTCTTACCTCCTGCAGACAAGGAAATCTGCAGAATACGGCTGAGCTAGGAGCAGGGTTCTGCCCAAGAGTGTCTCCTGTTTTATTAATAGTTAGGAATGGGGGATGACATGGAACGGAAAGCTCAAGAAGGCCCCAGACAGCAATGATGAGACCCTACCATCCTCAATTCTGTTGAAGTATGTGTCAAGTGGAGACCCTTCACCGTGTGCAGCGCACAATCAGAACATACGGATAGGTTAGCAGAAGACGCTTATTGTCATCAGCCTTTCTCATGGGGAAGTCATATTTACTTACAGTAATGCTTTCATTATGGAATCTGAGTCATCTTGGTTGTATGCTGTCAGAGTGAATAGCAGTCATTTGTAATGTCTTTGGTGCCGTAGGCAAAAAAGAAAGGAAATGTAGAATTTCCATCTTTAAATAAATAAACACATTTTCTGTCAGCTGTATAGAAGCTATGGAGCAAACATTGGCAGTCTTCATTTCCTAGCTCTTGTTTCCTCTCACCAAAGTAGATATCTGGCAACCGTTTAAAACCATCTAAAAACACTAGACGATCGGTATTCAGCACTAGATGATGGGTATTCAGGAACCACTGAGCATAATATAGGGGAAAATGAAAGCTGATACCGAACCTGCAATCACCCAGATTCATGAGTTCTACAGTGAACCTACAACGGAGCTCCAACATACCCAAGAGCAATTCTGGGGACACAGCTCAGGGCCACGGATCCTGCTCCTAATTCTCAACCTTATTTAAGCAAACTTGTAGAATCAGCAGCTGAGGGCTACAAGGACTGAGCTTTTCCCTGACTATCATTTAGGGATTTGGGAGGCTTTTGTTTGACTTATATTTGGATAGAAACTTCTCAGATGTGCAGTTGATTCATATCTAAATCAGGACAAGATTTTCCTTTGGCCTTTTCATTTTGCAGAATTTTTTTACAATGGGATTCACTCAAAACAAACCAAAAAGTGCCCCCCAATGCAGCTATTGGTGGGGCTATACACATTAAACTGCTGGTAGAGCTTATTAGGCAGACATGTGTACAAAATTCATGTGTTAGAAGAAATATGCTTTTTTATGGACAAACGGACAGGAACATGCAATTTTTAGAAGGCTGAGGGTTTAATTTATAATTTTTTGGAAACCCGAGGACCATAATGGGTGAGTAGACAAAGATGGAATCCTCTTTATTTATTTTTTTTGAGGGGCATATGAGAGGCTTTTTAAAAAGTTTAGCCGATGTGTTTCCTGACTCTGTTACTGATTTTCAGCAATAGTGATCAGAGGCAGCCTGCAGGTCTACACAGAAACAGCTCAGGGGTCATCTGCAATCTTGACTCTAGATCAGTGTTTCTCAACCTTGGCAACTTTAAGCTGTGTGGACTTCAACTCCCAGAATTCTCCAGCCAGCATGGAGAATTCTGGGAGTTGAAGTCCACACAGCTTAAAGTTGCCAAGGTTGAGAAACACGACCACAGTAGTGTGCATACCTGAGATTCCCTACAGAGTTCTCACGTTCAAGTGTTTCTCAACCTTGGCAACTTTAAGCTGTGTGGACTTCAACTCCCAGAATTCTCCAGCCAGCATGGAGAATTCTGGGAGTTGAAGTCCACACAGCTTAAAGTTGCCAAGGTTGAGAAACACTGATCTAGATAGTTCATCCCTGAACAAAGGCCTAGTAACTGAGAAATGGGGGAAACGAAACAAAAGAAAACAGGTAGATTTGCCCTACTTATTACCTGCCTGAAAGCCTAGTGAAAAATTGCTGATTCCAACAGAATGGCAATCTCAACAATGCTCTGCATCTTCCCAAGGCTAGGCCATCTCAGAAAACTTTTCAGCATACAGACGTGAACGTGAGAACTCTGTAGGGAATCTCAGGTATGCACACTACTGTGGTCCAAACAGAAAGAGAGGAAGGAAAGTCTACTTACACATAAAGCACACTTTTCTGGTCTCCAACCTGACCTCCATCTCCCACAGTTAATGTATCGTATCCTCTCTCCAAGTCAAATTCTTCAAAATTGAGTTTGATTACCTATTGAAGATATAAAGGGTTAGACTCGTTTATTAAATGGTTCTGGCAGAATCAGTTTAAGCAACATACACCACAAATACCACTACTTTGTAGTGACAGGATTGTTATTCCAGACTGGAAGATTCTCTAGTTCCTCTCTCTCTGAATCATGACAATAATTGAATAGGCCTTGGGAAAAGTGTATCTGATGGTATGACTCAGTACATAAGACAATTCTAGAATTGGGATAATGTGTTATGTAAGTGCTTATAAAGGTTACACAAGGAACCAGCTTAATTGAACCTCCCATTATCTACATGCTATTCATGGAATCTAAATCATATTGTTTTCATTCATTTCAGCTATGATGATTTAGAGTAAGGATGAAGAATTTCTGACCTACGAAGGTGCCCCATCCAGCCCACGGAGTATCACCTAAAGCTTTGTCCCATCAGTCTTTTACTGAAGAAGCACAAAGAAGAACAAAGATTGGTGAAAGATCCCAGTCTCTGGAAACTGAAAGTGAAGGTGATCTCATGAGAATAGCTTCAATTATCTTATGCTTTGCGCAGCCCATCTATTTCATATTCATTAAGGGAAACTGCACAGTAGACAAAGCTGCAGTGAAGATGCTATTGTGTGTCTGAAACATGAACAAGGGTTTGATGTAACACCAATCTGTGGCCTGATCTAGGGTTGTTTTTGTAACTGTGCATAGAAATAACTGAATACAATCCCCTTTAAATAATTTGATTAGTAATCTCCAAATTAAGTAAAGAGGAGATGAGGAGGAGGGGGAGGGTTTAGGGTTAGGATCATTTACGTTTATTCATTCATGTTTTGATTAAGTTATTATGCTGGGGCAAGAAGAATGTAATGGTCTGTTTTTCCTATTGCAACACCCTAATACAAATCAACTGGAAGAGCAACCAGAGCCTTTTATGTAACCCTTATGATACTGGTGGAAATGGCATAATCCAGGATTGGCCAGTTTTTGTTTTATTTAAAAAGTTGAGTTCTGTATTTCCATGAGGTCTTCCATGGAGAGGTTGCATGCCAATACATGGATGTGGCTGAAATGGCAGGTAAGCGGTAGCAAGAACTGAGTGCATTTTCTTGGACTTTCAGACTCCATTTCTCTCTTTTTGATACCCCTCCTCTTTCTGACAATCTTTTCTTACTCCCCCCTGCTCCCCTTGTAGCAAGTTGTTGGACAGATCACTCTTGTCCAAGCTAATCTCTTGTAGGCTGTTTCTGAAATTGGGCCGTGGGCTGCATTAAATTAAATCCCAGCCATAATCCAAAATACACACTGTTTGTTTCTGTATTTTATAGTTTATCACTCAGTCAATTGTATGGGTGCATGTTGCCTGAAACTTCAAATTAACCTTGGTGTCACAGAAATTGTTTTCCTTAAAAGTGCCATAACGAAATGTTGACTTTGTTAACAAATCAATGTGTTGACTAAACAATAGATCTGATTCTAGTGTCATACTGAAGTAGAAATTTTCTAATTTGGAAGTAAGTAAATGTTGCTTTAGCAATGCCTCTTTAAAGCATATGATTTTACAGTGTCCTATACTTACTAAGTTTTGGGAGAAAGTAGTGGACTATATAAATATGATGGTGCAACAAAAGCTAAAATTTTCAGAGGATAACATTCTTTTGAGCTATATACCTAGTACATGGAATTTGACATCTGGACAATGTAAATGAATTCTCCGTGCCCTTACTATGGCCAAATAACTAAGATTGCAGCATTGGAAAGATAAATGTATAGTCCCATTTACTCAATGGATTGAAGACCTGATTGCACTTGCTACTTATAAGCAGTTTGCCTATAGAAGTAGACTTCCTATGGACAAGTATAATGAAATATGGGACTCATTTATACAAAATACAGTATGTTAGGGGAAAAAACCACAATAGTTATATATATGTATTGGACACACAAATGCATCTGATTAATATTTGCATTAGATAGTTATAATAGTATACTATGTTGTTTTTTTAATCTTTTTTGTTGCATTTTTGTCACTTTTCTATAATAGCACTTTTAAAAAAAAATTCTTATTATTTTTGTGTGTGTTTTTTGTTATTAATTAAACAGCAATAAAAAAGTAAATATTGCTTTAGGAACTCTAGAAGCATTCTCTTAGGGCATGAAAGAGAAGAGGAGGTGTGAAAGTGAGCTGACAAATACTCATAGCTATAATTCTCCTTCCACATTTGAATAACCTTGTTCTGCAGATGCACTTTTAATCTGCATAGTCATGTTGAAATGTGACAGTCATGGTCTAATGTTTGAACTGGAAAATGAATAGGCAGTGGTAATTTTTTTTTAATATAATTTGAAAGGAAGGGTGCCAGGAGGAACTTAAGCCAGCCTTAGAATTAAGTTACAAACATATAAATCTCCACATTACTTTAATAGGAATAGCTAAAGATCATATTAAATAAAAACCCTGATATTTTGAATAAAATTTCATGACACTGACAAGAAAAGAAAGCTGATTCCTGGCTCCAAATTTTTACTACTGTACATGGATATACTGTATTGGCCTAGGGAATCAAAAAGCAGAATCTGATTGAAAAATATCAGCACATAAGTGAACGTTTTCCCAACTTTGCATGAATTGGTAGCAATTCTTTTCAGAAGCTGTGTTTACACAGAAAAGAGAGGTAGAAATTAAATCTAAGTGAGGGACAGAAGAAGATAGATACATATGGATGCCAGAAACATTTGTTCAAGTAAGGCAATACTAAGGCAGAATTATGAATTTCACCTAACATCCAGCAAACCATAGATTAGGTCATCTGAACTTATTTTTCTTTTCCTATTTTACCATTTGTTCTTGTTTTCAGGCACAGTTGATACTACTACCCCTTTATCAAACAAAGCCAATCTAGATTTAAGCCCTAAATCTTAATCAGTTACCATGTTTCTCTGGTCAGTTTGGCTTCAGGTTTTAGTGACCATGGTCTAAACAAAAAAAAATTCTGATATTTTTGCCAGCGACTGTAGCTCATATCTTCAGAAACAAGGTGATCAGCTACACACACCTCAAAGAACTGAGCAGGGACTGACTGGGCTCCTGTCTTTATCACCAGGTGTCCTGACTGCTGATTGGTCTTTAGCCAAGCTGGTTTCTGATTGGTGCAGGTTGGTGTGAACAAAGGACCAATCAGAGACCAGCCCTTACCAACCTGCACCAATCAGAAACCAGCTTGGCTAAAGACCAATCAGCAGTCAGGACACCTGGCTGTAATGACAGGAGCCCAACTGAACCCTGCTCAGTTCTTTGTGGTGTGTGTTGCCTGTGGTTTGTGTAGCAGACCACCTTGTTTCTGAAGATGCCCGCCATAGTTGCTGGCAAAATGTCAGAAAATCTGTTGTCTGGAACATGGATCTAAACTTTAAAGCCCAACGCTGTCTAACGGATACTAGCTGGGAAAGCTTATACCAGTATAACTTGTCTGGTTCACATCAGCATCCTGCACCTTGACATTGTCCAAGTATATCCGGATTGCAATTCCCAACATCCCGAAATCCCATATTCTCAATGTAATGGAAGGGGAAACCTAGTCTACACCATGAAACCCATATGAATAACCAAATAAGCCTCACTGGCTTCTTAAAGCTAGTTGAAGGCACCTGGCAGCATAACCTTGTTCCTCCCTGACAGGTCTCAGACTGAAGGTTACTGGCGTAACTCTTCTTCTTCTGCCAGCTGGATAACAGCTGTGTGGCTGTATTGCAATTGTCCTTCAGCCCAGTCAGATATTCTGTGGAGCTGTATAGAACTGCTGAATAAAATCTGCTCCCTTGGTCTGAGCAACCTGTTAAAAGGAGCCAAACTGGAGTGATTGGGTAGCATGCGCTAACATATTCTTTTAGTCGGAAGTTGAAAGAATCCTGGCTTCCTGTTCTGCTTTTTGTATACATGGAAGAAAACAGCACAATGGAGAATTGAGAGCCCCATATAACAGCAGATCTTTCATTTTCTTGCATCTGTGACTCAACCTGAAAAGAAACATTCAGGAATGCACACAAAGCGTTCAGCCCAGAAATGCCTACATATTTACATATTTGTTTCCTGTTCCTTTGTCTCTCGTACAGGTTTGTGTGTGTGCACTTTCAAGTCAGTTTTAACTCCTGACAACTGCCTGGACAAGTCCCTGCAGTTTTCTTGGCAAGGTTTTCAAAAGTGGTTTTCCCATTCCTTCTTCTTCCTAGGATTGAGAGAGAGTGACTGGCCCAAAGTCACCCAGCTGGCTTTATGCCTAAGGTGAGAGTAGAACTCATGGTCTCCTGGTTTCTTACCCAGGGCCTTTAACCACACCACCAGACTGGCTCTCTACACAGACAGCATAATACTTGGATAAATAATCAGCACATAGTTTTCCAGAACAGTTGAATCCAAGGATCCTTAATCTGAGTCTCACATTATCACTCCTGAAAGATGCTCGGAATACCAAATGTTAACAATAGAAGATAGCTCCATAAATTGTTCCATTTCACAATTGTACAAAGCCCGAATTCAAGTCAGGAGTTTTTTGGGCTTTGGAGCCAAGGTGCTTCTTCTCACAAGAGATTCTGGAGCTCCAGAGAAAAGAAACACCACCATCAAACTGCTTCTCAGCTTCACAACTTCCAGCTGTGCCACTGTCCTCCTGTTCCATCTGATTAGATGGTGTGGAGGAAGACCATTATGTGCTGATTCTTTGTGAAATGGAGGCAACTTGATAGGCCAAATCAATACCTGGAAAAGAAATAGTTTATCTTGTTGCAATGCTTGGAAACCTCACCCTGCTTTTCCAACTACTGAATGGAAGAGTCAGAGCAAACATCTGGAAAAGCAAATGCACGAAACACCTTTTCTGGCTACTGGAACTGTTGGATGAGACCTCAGATTGAAGCAACACAGCCCCTTTTCCTTTTCTTTGCTTTCAGATGTTGGAGGAGTGTGGCTTTCTAAAGCAGCTTTAAAGGGGTGCTTTGTCTGAATATATATAGGTAA